CCCCAAGCCGGCCAAGGGAAACAACTCCTGGGCAGAAAATGGACAAAGGACCCGGAAAGCAGAAGAGTCAACTCAATGGGTTTCTAAGTCTCCTGCCAGTCCACTGTCTACATCTAGCAGATGGTCCCGGTGGCTTGCTGTCATCACAACAGCATATCAGCATGTCTGGCCACTCTAGCTGTCACATTGCATGTCTCTATCTTCACTTACCATAGGATGTCAGGCTAGGATGCTAGGATGACTACTACGGTCTACGGGTTTACAAACAAGTCACTACACCACGAAGCTCGCTGTAAAATTACAATAGCATGTCACCTTAGTCTAGGTGTCACAATACACGTCTGCATCATCACTCACCATAGGAAGTCATGCAAACGTCGACCACTAGGGTTCACGGCCTTAACAGACAAGTCACAACTATATGAGACAACAAACACATAGACAGTGATCGTCAGTCAAAGCCACAGCAATAACAGTATAATCGATAAACTCGTAAGATCAGAGCTGGGCTGCTTCACTGCCCAGTCCCCTCATGTACACTAACATTTCATGGTCACATTCTTTGTTTGCATTGTACTTCACAGGGACGCTGGACCCGTTTTCCAGCAGGTGCTGCTCCCCACCAATAGATGGAGCCTCCCCGGCGGTTCTAGTGGTGCCTGCTCATACCAGCACCCCTAGAACCGGTCCGGGCCGTCGTTTCGTTTCGGCCGCTGCAAAGGTCGGATGCCTACCCGAGGCCCGCTATTTTCCAAGCGGCAAAGGTACTGGTGGTTTAAAAAAAAAAAAAAAAAAAGGAAAAGATAGGGCCTGGCTCCACCACTCTTGATTTTACAATTCTGGCGAGTGGTGCTCCGCTCCACTTGACTCTTGATTGAACACCCTGAATAATTGATCAAGAGCTGTCTAAATTCTGATCAGTTTATAATAAATTAATAATTGCTCCTTAAAAAAAAAAAAAAAATCCTACTCCCGAAAGGAAAGGAGAAGACAGCAGACCGGCAAGACTGCAGAAGCATGAGAACGAAACCGTAAGATACACCAATCGATAGACGTCCGCTACGCATGCCAGATAACACAACACATAAACACGCAAACGCCAGAAGCACATGAAAGATGAATATCACGAGAAACAAATGCTTCCGAAAAATCATTCACATAGTAACAAAAGCGCGGTCTATCCCCGACGCGTTTCGTCCGTCCCGCCACCCGGACTCTTCAGGGGGAGACGAAATCCCACTGCGTGTACCACATAGAGGCCATACCTTCAGCCTTGCCTCTAATTTATAGCTAGCCTACACCTACACGAGCCAAGGAGGACGACATCTGTGCGAACTTCTCGCATCGCACCCAACCAACAGGCCAAAGTCGCGCCATCCCAACGCTACTAGCACAAGTACAACCCATCTTACATGCCCTTTCAACCGCTTCCTCAGTCTGAGACAGACATCCCACTTCACGATTGTCATCGAGATGAGCCTCAGCACGGACACGAAGGCAGCTCACAGTAAAGCATAATGAAAGCTCCATCGGGCTCGACACCGGAAGGCGAGTCCAGAAGGTGCTAAGGCACCCACCGCCTCTCGCCATAGCTGGCCCTTCCCTGCGGCGCAGCCAGCGCATAATACAACCGTCGCAGCACGTCGTCGTGCCCACCGCGAAAGAGGAAATCCGACGGAGGACACCCCAGTTATGAAGAGTTCCTGCGCTGAGTCGTTCAGAGGCAGTAAGTGAGAAAAAAATCGTGAAAAAGGTTCGAAATGATCCTGGAAAAGAGCCAAAAAAGCACTTGCATACGAATGCGTCCGGAGAAATATCATCGGCCCGTAAAACCAAGCTAGATACATTACAACCGGGGAAGAGCTCCAGACCCAACGGTCAGATCCTAAGCCAGCCGTCAATGCCCTTGCTGGCGGGAAGCCACCAGCCCAACCCATTTCCAAAAACGAAGTCCCCAATCAGGCGCCAAGGCGAAATTATAGAAAAGCATTCAAAAAAATTAAAAAAGCATCCGAGACCTAAGCTCCTAAGTCCGAAAAAAAAAACCGAACCCCTGTCACCAAGGCACGAGGTCCAGGCATCCAAAAAACCAGATCCGCATGGTGGCAAGGTCAGCCTGGTAAGCCAAACGACCGGTCCCAATCAGATCACTTCTCCCAAAAACAGGTGTATCGGTGGACACAGGTCCTGCTTGGCAAAAGGCCAAGCCCCCTATCACAGACACGAGCCGCCACCTCCGGCATGATTCCTCCAGCCTTGGAGGCAAAACTCACAACAGCGTCTTCCACCATTCTCCTCGGGTAATCCCTTGTGAGCAACTCCCTTTTAACAGCGAGCAAGGCTTCCTGCAATCCCCATTCATCAGTGGTAAGCCTATATAACCGGTGCAAGGTGCTCAGAATGGCACCAATCTTGGCCCTTTTACTGGAGTAGGATTCATAATCCTGGAAACCACCAAACACCAGGTCACCGGAATCCCAGAGGCTGGAAGCATTTTTCACGATGGACACAGTTCGCAGCGCCGTACCGTGTCGAAAGATAGTTACCCCAGCAAAATTCCAACACCCATCGTCCTCGTCCGTCCTGAACAGTCTGAGTACTTGACCGTAGCAATGATTGAAAAGCTCCATTATAGAGTGATCACGGTGCAAACCATACCTACCCACTACGGCTACGAACACCGTAACATCATCAACCACACGGAAACCACGTACCAACCGCCTATCTCTACCCAGGCCCTTTAAAAAGGTGACCTCAGCGAAGGTGCAAAGGATGCAGGCAATAGGGCAGCTAGTGGATTTACCCATGGGCACGCCAACCACTTGCTTCAGGAGTTGTCCAGCTGACCAGATGAAGGTAAAGCATAGATCAAACCGTACCATGTCCAGAATCATCTCAAGAGGAATAGAGATACAATCATCCCGAGACCCTCCGACTGATAACCAGGCCTTCTTGCCCCGTTTCGCCACTCTAACTCCCTTGTACCCTTTACTCAGATAGACCTGGATGAGCCAATCAACCGCATTAAGGACATCATCATGTGGCAGAGAGACAAACATGTCCTTAATATCAAAGGAGGCAGAAACCAAGTCAACATACCCAGGCAAATTCCTGAAATTCCCCTCCGTTTCCAACAACCCAGGGACAAAATCCATAACAGCTTTGAGATTAAACCCCGAGTGTTTAGGTAGAGCAAAGAGGAGCGTATTCAGTGCACGAGCTACTCTAGAACTAGCCAAACGTGATGGCTCAGCAAAAGTTGGAGAAATAGGTCGCCATCTGAAGAGGTCCTTATGTTTAGGCAAGGCATAGGCCTGACCAAATGAGCCACCCACATCCCATTTCCCTAACCGCTGTAGTCCTAAATCCAAAAAAACAGAACGCATACGACACAGAACATCCCTTTCCGTTAGTGAGACCAATCTGAAAGATGCATTCCAATTGAAAGAAATACAAAGGAAGTGCTTATACAAGATCGGACAAATCACCAACGTGTCAGAGTTATTCCGGTCATTAGGAACACACACAAACCGCTTAAGCCGCAAAAACCAGGTCTTCAATACCTGTAGATGGGAGAGATCCTCCTTCTCCACCACACTGTTCCAACAAGCCGTCAAATCCAACCGGCTGATAACACACGATGACCTGAGATAGCTGGCGATCTTAACCAGTTGTTTACCGAGCTCCAGGCACCCATCCATAGGAAGCACACGCGGAATGTTCCGCGAGTTCCTCAACAGGGAAGGAATACCAGGGATGCTTCCAATCCGAGTCATGATGTGTAACCCCGAGCGTGTCCACATAGGTTCCGAGCAGCATTCACAAACCCAATCGCCCTCTTCACGGGATAGCTGCTGGACAGATCGGAAATACCCCGATACTGGGACGTTCTTCCGCCATACAAAACGTACCTTTCGCTTAAGCAACCCTTGGATTTCCATAGGCAGGGCTGAAGCAACTAGCACCCTTAGTACCAACGCGTGAACCGCCGCAGTGTCCACTCAATGATCGAAACGGAGCTTCACTACAATCCTACATCGAACATCGAAGCTCAGCTTCTTTTTGATAGCCCGAGCTAGCACACCCTTCAGTGTCGAACGGGTCGGCTTACCCGAGAAGTCTCGGGCTGCCTTAAACCATCTCACCAACTGAGCAACCGATAATCTACAAAGCGATCGTCTACGCCACGGTTGGAGCAGCAACAACTGAAGTTGTCCCTTGTGAATGGCACGCCCGTTAGGCGTAAAGATAACCGGCCGAACTTCACACACACATCCCTTCTGCAAAACATTTTTTAATTTCCTGAGGGGCACAGCCTTAGTACCCAGGCGAACAAGAGAACAGCCAAAACATCTCCTGATCAGCGACCACCCTTCAGACCAGAGATTACCTGCCGAGAATTCCAGAACCAGACTCTTACGATTATGTTGCACAGCTGACCGTAAGATGCTAAGCAAACTCACCTCCGAACTACACCCTACTTCCCTGACCGTAACAAGCCCACATTTACCTTCGATCCTTACCTTACCACATCTCTTGATCCTGCTATGTCGGTTCCTTCTTCCAATCGTACGGATCTTCCGCCGGAAATTCAAGACCAGCGAGAAACTCCTAATAAGCGCTTTTTCAGCGATCTCAACTGATGATACATTATTAACTAGAGGCACAGCTACATACTTACCGACACCCACCAAGTGCAACCACCGATAGAGCCTCGGACATACCCCTAGCCCCCGCGACTTAACTGTCCGCAAATGTTCAGCCCATCGGATGAAGATCCCCCGGGTGGAGCATCCAACATACTGCGCTCGGCACCAGGGGGAGGTCAAAACGTAAACCACCGGCCCAATGTCCCAGGCTTCCCAGTCAACTTTCAACAATAAGGTCCTAAACTTAGACATCCACAAGATCTCACCCAAGATCGCACATTTGTCGTAAAGCACACGAAGCCGTGAAGCACCCCCATAGTCCAGGAGACGGATACGTAGCTGGAGACAGTGGAGCAGATTTTCCCATAGCCTAAAGCGAGCAAATCCAGCAATTCACTCACTCGGGGTACGTTCCCCTTCCTCTGGTGAGACATTAGCAGGGGCAGGGGGAAAAATGAAACCCTCATACGCCATCTTGACACGAGCTTCGATAATCTTCTCAATCGTCGGCGCCTTTGTTGTATACTCCACTTCCTCCGTTCGGCAGATGGCTTTGAGCTGCTCCTTGTTCTTACCAGTAAGCAGACGCCGTTGCTGCAAAACATATGCAAGCACACCTTCAGGTCCACTGCCCGACGGAATCTTAGTCCGCTGTCTTTCCTCCCCCATCTTTGAAGACTCAGGTGGGGAATCTTGAACTGAACCATCATTATGGTGGAACACAGGCTGGCGGAAAGACCTCCGAGGCGCCGGTGCCGGCTCTTTCCCTCTATCCTTTCTCTTCTTCTCCCGGAGCTCATAGAGTTTAGCAATCTCATCCTCGATGTCTTCGATCCCCTTGTCTTCGTAGTCGCAGACCGCACGCTCCCGGGGGGTGCCAAGTGGGGTTCGTGGCAAAGGTGCCCGCACACTCTCCCTTCGTACCTCCTCGCGCGTCGCCAAATACTGACGGTCGATCTTAGACATCAGACGTGCCTCCATTGCTTCAGAGTTCCGTTCGATCTCCTGTCGGGTAAGCTCGTCCATCTTACGCCTTTCTTCCAATTCCCTCCTACGAGTCTGCTCCTCACGCTTTTCCTGAATAAGCTGCCTCCGAAACTCTTTCTCTTCTGACTCTTCCTGAGGACGCTTAGGCGTCCAAAATCGTGTGGTCGAAGGGGTAGAGTTAGAGCCTCCACCCTGCTGCTGGCGTTGGGAAGGACACTCCCGGGCGACGTGACCTTCGCCTCCGCAATTAAAGCATTTAGTGCCCTGCGATGCCATGATCCCCTTGACCCACCAAACCCCCGCTAGACAGAGACAAGGGAACCAAGCTGGAAAGTCGCAGAAGAAACCGGATGTCGTCAGAGCCGAGGCAAAGCAAGATACGTAGAAGAAACTAAACGAGCTATCACCGTTCGGACGAAATAAACAAACCGGCCACTTCAAGAGAACCATCCGAACATAACCCCCCCCCGTTATGATACCGCTACTAATACTCCCCACGGAAGAAACCGCTCAATCCAAACGAGCTACCACACTACTACTTTTAGTATCCTCATCAAAGAAAACGACAATCCTAACCAGTGCGTCCACGTCTGAAAACCAGAGCGCACACTTGATTAACACTCTATCCATACTAGCACAAAACCGAAACAGAGCCTACACAAAATCGTAGACGTGACCACCTCAACAATGTTCAACCGCACTGCCGGTTGTCATGCACATCGGAAAGGAGCGAAGAAAGGAGCCTACTTCCGAACCCTCGAAAATCCTGCAAATTCTCAGAAATTGAGGGCCCTCTCTTCCATCCTCGATTTTTGAGAGTGGGAGGCACGTTGGGACCTGGCTGTTAATTCTTTTCTCTGTTTTGTTCCGCTGTTATATGTTGAGAAGAGCGAAGAAAAAGATAAAACGCAGAACCGAGCATGGTTAGCGGGTGAGGATCGAGCCTATCGTCTTCACCCGAAAATAACGGCCGGCTGTTGTGTACGAATACAGAGCCCGATTGGTGTTATAAGTTATAACACCCAGGCGTAATATTCTTCACCCGAAAATAACGGCCGGCCGTTGTGTACGAATACAGAGCCCGGCGGGCGTTATATTCTTTTATAACACCCAGGCGTAATACTTCATTGAGACTTTTTTTTTTTTTTTTTTGGAAACAATTTTTTTATTCAAAATGAAGATTGAGGCCGGGGTCCTCACAGTCTACCCGGAGTAACCGAACCGAATCATGCTGAGAACCGGGCCCAGCGTCCCTCATATGATGATGATGGTGATGCTAATGATGATGGACTTCTACTAGTCTTCTAGTGATGCTTAGAAAAGTGTAAGATAGTAATTCCAATGATGATGATAATGATGATGATGATGATGATGATGATGGTGATTAGTATATAAAACTACAATTGCTAAGCACCTCCTGACCTCAGAATTCGAATGTTTTTTTTTCTCTATCTCTATCTCTATCTTCTTAAAGCGAATTGCGGGCCTGCGGGCCTCGTGTAACACTCCCGCAAGACCCGGCCATTATTTTTGGGTGGCAGATTCAAATGGGGATTGAACCCAAGCCCTCCTAAATGCCACTGGCGTGCCTTACCAACTGAGCTAGGCCATCCAAAAAAAAAAAAAAAAAAAAAAAAAAAAAGCCCTAAAAAAAATCGGTTGTCTAGAATTGCAATGCAAGACCTCCTGACTGCCACTCGCGTACCTTAGGTAAGGCATGGAGCACGCAAGTGGCATTCAGGAGGTCTTGGGTTCAATCCCCATTGGCCTCACTCATGTACCTTCCTGGGCAAGCTTGGCGCCGGCCACCTCGAGATATGTCGTTGGTCCCCCCGAGTGGCATTGAGCAGAGACTGCTGATGTTCATAGGGGGAGGGGACCAGAGGGGAGGCACAGTGACTGGCCCATCGATGAAGCTCAGTCCTGATGCTACCGGCTGACCCCTGGCCGGTATCGCCCACCTGCTGTAGCAGGTATCACACCTGCCCGTGGGTGCAGCTCCCGCATGTTCCCTCGTTGGAGGCTTGAGCACGGATGTGGCTACTACGGGCTTCCCCGTAGTACTATAATAACGACAATAGAAAATGCCTGAAAGGCCGTCCTGTCCAGATTTGACACGTAACTAATTTGGTTGGCCTTAAAAAAAATAAAAAAAAATTGCAATGCAACCAACTTTTAGCTGAGGGTCACTTATAATGGAATGGTCGCCCTTTTTTTGTAGAAAAGAAAAAAAAGAAAATCTTACAAATTTGGAAATAAAACAAAGAAACAAAAAATCAAACCAAAACATACCTCTTGGAAGTCAAAACCCCCCTTCAACCCCCTTTAAAACCCATGTATATTCCCTCTACAAGGCACTCTACCCATGGCAGATTCAAATAAAACGCACGGGTGTTCTATCTGAATATAACACCGGCGCCTTATATTAAAAAAAAAAAGTGACTAAAAAAACAAAAATCTCATCTTTTTTGGGTAAAACTTGAATATAACGTTGGAGGTTCGAAAAAAGGTGAGTAAAAACAAAAATCTCATTCTTTAAGGGTAAAACTTGAAGTCTTGACTCTTGAATATAACGTTGGGGCGTTATTTTCAGGTGAAGACGATAGGCCAAGGGAGGACGACTACATGCTATTATTCGATAGTCTGACAATTCCCAACCCGCTCTCCTTTTTTTTTTTTTTTTTTTTTTTTTTTTGAGCTCTCGATTTTCTGGTTGGATGGAGAGTGGTGGAGTGAGGCCCGCAGGGGCGTTAACTGTTTAATGCCAGAAATAGGAACATCTGAATGTACCTGCACGTTTATCAGGGCCAGATGCATGGTCTGCACCCAGCTCTGGGTAAAATAAATCCGCATGGATTCAGATGCTGCTGTTTCTGACATTACTAAAACTCAACTCCTTGTTCTTTTGGGCCAGAAAATATCTAAGAGGGGAAACTACGCGGGTGTCATAAAAACGAGTTATAATTGCAGTACGGGCCATGATACAGTTTCGAATTGCAGTTCGGGCAATGTATACAACCCAGCTTTCTGGCCAAGTTGGGTGCCCAAAGTGCAAGTGCAAACTGTATCTTGGCTCATAGTGCAATTACAACTCGTTTTTGTAACTCTACTGAAGTTACCCCCATCTAAAAATAGGGATATGTACTGTCCGATGCCAGAAATAGGAGCATCTGTTACTATCTGCACGTTTTTTACTGTCCGATGCCAGAAATAGGAGTATCTGTTACTATCTGAACGTTTTTTTTTTTTTTAAAGAACAACCCGGGTGGACGCTGGGGGTGCTGATAAGAGCAGGCACCCACTGCCATTCCCAAGGAGGCTCCATCTATTCGTGGGGACCAGCACCAGCTGGAAAGCAGGTCCAGCGTGCCTGAACATTGAATTTGATTGTTTGATCAGACATGTAATTGTGATGAGAATCAGTCGCGGGGGTTACCTACAAAAACAGTACATATGCCTTCATAAGTGCCTCTTTGTCCTTCCATTCCCCTACCACCCCCTCCGATTCTTCGGATTTATTTCCTCCTCACAACCTGTCCGTTTCTTTTTTTTTCTTCTTCTTTTTTAAAGAAACAGTTTGGGTGGGTGTTAGAGGTGCTGATAAGAGCAGGCAAACAACCTGTCCCTAGTTGATCTGCAATGGTTTGGAGGCTAGGCTTGCAGGATAGATCAGACATCCCTTTGGGATGAAGAGGCCTCTTTTTTTTTTTTTTTTTTTTTTTTTGAAGAGGCCTCCTTGGATCCTTTTTTTTTTTTTTTTTTTGCTAGAATAGCCCTTGTGGCATCCGTCCATCCTGGCGGTGGTAAGAGAACCGCCAGAATTGAGGGCTTATCTGTCGGGCTGCTCCATCTATTGGTGGGGAGCAGCACCAGCTGGAAACCGGGTCCAGCGTCCCATTGATACATCATGTAGCACATAGATTGCTGTTTGTTGTTTTCCTGGGGCTGTGGTCATTGTTGACTCATCCCGGGGCTCCGTTATCCCATGGAACTGCTAATGTCACCCATTCCCTTGTTGGAGCACCCCTTATCCCTAAGCCCAGCCCTATTTCAGCAGCCCCCCTGTTTGATTATTGCTGTGTCTGTCCCTTTAAACCCTTGAACCCTTCACACCCTTTTCCCTCTTTTCGGTTTGATGGAGACTGAACATTCGTATATATGTGTGTTGACTGAGTTGTACCTTCAGGGCATTAGCAGGACCCCTGTTCTGTCTGTGTTCTATCTGTGTTTGTGTGCAGTCCCAGTTGTCTATGTTACAACCACCTTTGAGCACGCATACCATGTGAGCTGTTCTGTCTGTGTTCCGTCTGTGTTTGTATACAGTCCCAATTGTCTATGTTACATCGACCTTGGATCAAGCATACTATGTGAGCGTGTGTTGTAGAGTGTGTTTACGTCTGTGTGTGCATGTATGTGCCTGTGTGCATATAGAGTGGGAGGCGCGTCTGTTTATTAAGTATGTGCTGTGTGTACCATGTTGTCTTTCTGTGGAGTATCCTATTTCTATGGTCCTGAGACTGTGAGTTGGAGAGATGTGTTGTGTTGTATGTGATGTTGTGTTGTGCTAATGTGATGATATGTTATGGGCAGTTATGATCTGTGTTGGGAGATGGGGTGAGTAGAGTAATCAGAGTAATCAGAGAACAGAGGAGAGCAGGAGAGCAGGATTAGAAGTGAGAAAAGGGAGGCAAGACAGAAAGGTCTTTTCTGTTTTTTTTTTGGAAAATTTGTCTGGCACCACTGTAATTTGCGTTATTTCGCGTCACGCCCCTCCAATGGCCGATTTACCCTCTTGCGCCCTGCCCCTCTGAGCAGCGTTCAAATTTTCCATGAGACCTCGGTGTCGTTTGGGCCTCAAATCTTTTCGTTACGCCCCTACCGGTACCGGTCCCTAATTTGCGGGATGCCCCTACCAGATGGCCGTTAAAAGCCAGCAGGAGAATTTTCGAGATGCCCCTACTGGTACCATTTGCTGCCAAGCCATTTGCTGCCAAGCCATTTGCTGCTACGTCATCTGCTGCCACGTCATCTTCTGCTACGTCATCTTATGCCACGTCATCTGCTGCCAGTCCATTTACTGCCAAGCCATTTGCTACTACGTCATTTGCTGCTACGTCATCTGCTGCCACGTCATCTTATGCCACACCATCTGCTGCCAATCCATTTGCTACCAAGCGATTTGCTGCTACGTCATCATCTGCTGCCTCATCAGCTGCTGCCAAGAGGGCGTCTGCTGCCAAGTCATCCACAACTGCCACGTCTTCTACTGCTTTCCCAGATGCAGGGGCGGCTCCCTCTTCCGACAAACGAAAGGATGTTAGTGGTGGACAGTCTGAGTCAACGATGAGGGCTACGGCGACGTCGATGAATGCAAATGCGGGAAAGAAGAAGTCTGGGACGAAAATCAGGGGGCGGGCATTGGCTCTTGCGAGTCCGTATCTCGTCTCATCCGA